CCCCCATCTCACCAACTCCTGCGGGGTCTCCACGGTGGCCAGCTGTGCTCCACGGGACAGACAGAAGCGCTGCCCTCCATCCCAATCCGCCGCGTCCTCCACGAAGTAGAAGCACCGCGTCCCCACCCCGATCCCATCCCTGGGGCAGCCCGGGAGGGGGGGGGCGGCTGTGGGGCAGGGGGGGCACGAGGGGCGTTTCTGGGCTGGAAGGAAGCAGTGATGGGGTGTGGAGGGTTCTGCGCTCACTCGTTAAGCTAACGAAGCACAGAGAACGGTCGGACTGCCCTCCAATGCAGTGACCCACGCATTGGGATGCCCCAAATGCATGGAACCCCACACAGTGACCCCATTGGGAGGCCCCAAATCCATGGAACCCTATGCAGTGACCCCACTGGGAGGCCCCAAATCCATGGAGCCCCATGCACTGACCCCATTGGAGTGCCCCAAATCCATGGAACCCCACACACTGACCCCACTGGGAGGCCCCAAATCCATGGAACCCCACACACTGACCCCACTGGGAGGCCCTACACTCACCTGCCAGCGAAATGACGGCGATGAGCAGCGCTGCCACCAGCACAGTGCCTGCAATGGGGAGCAGTTTGTCCTTAATGCACTTCAGGCTGAAATCTGTGGAGGAAGCGGTGCTGGGGGAGAGGTGTGGGCAGCAAACCCTCACCGTAACCCAAACCATAACCATAACCATAACCATAACCATAACCTGATCCTAACAACCCTTACCCCCATCCCCAATCCTAACCCTAACCCCGACCCCCCTGATCCTAACAGACAACCCTGACCCCTAACTGTAACCCTAACCCATAACCCTAACCCCTCATCATAACCCAAACTGTCCCTATAACTACAACCCTAGCCATAACCCAAACTGTAACCATAACCCCCTAACCCTGATCCTAACAGCCCTTACCCACATCCCAATCCTAACTGTAACCCCGACCCCCCTGACCCTAACAGACAACCCTGACCCCTAACTGTAACCCCAAACCCTGACCCTCACTTCAGCCCTAACCCCCCTGACCCCAAACCATAACAACCCTTACCCTCATCCCTGCTTGTAACCCTAAGCCCTGACCCGATCCCCCCTTACCCCGATTCCTAACCATAACCCTAAACCTAACAAACAACCCTTACCCCGGCCCCTAACTTTAACAGTCCCAATCCTAACCCTTACCCTAACGATCCCAATCCTAACATTTACCCTAAACTGAAGCCTCACCCTAACAACCCTTATCCTAATCCTTACTCTAACCTCTAACCTCAAGAACCCTAATCCTAACTCCTAACCCTTACCCTAACCATAACCCTAAGGAACATCCCTAACTCCTAACTTAAACAACCCTAATCCCAACCTTTACCCTAACACTTATTTTAACAACCCTAAATCTAACCTAACCCTAACAACCCCAACTAACAGCCCTAATCCTGACACTGTTAACCCTAGAGGAGCCCCCGTTCCCCCCAGGCTCCCTTGGAACCCACAGCTCCACCCCAAATCCACCACCATCGCCCCAAAGGAGGTATATGGCCGCCCAACCTCATCACATCCCCACCAACCGTGGCAGATGGGCATCACCCCCCATCGCCCACCCCTTTAATTAAATGCTCGTTAATTTTGCAGCTCGTTAGCACCGATCCCAACCACGACCTGGCGCTGGTCCCCAAAAGGGCAGCAGTGCTCACTGGCATCCTTCGCTCCGCGCTGTGGATCCATGGCAGCAGAAATGGGGTGGGGGTCTGGTGGGGGGGGGGAGGGAAGGGGGGTCCTCTGCAGCCCCAAAGGAATGGGGAGGGAGGAGGGGGTCAGCGTGGGGGGGACCCAAAGGCGGAGAGGGGAGGTTGAGTGCTGGGAACAAACGCTGCTCTGAGTCGGTGCTGGTGGGAGGGGAATGTGCTGCCTCAGAGGCTCCGTGGCACCGGGAGGAGCAAAAAGTGCAAAATTACCCCCGAACTGGGGGGGAATTGGGGAAAATTGGGGGGAATGTCGGCCATTTCCACACCGGGGTCCCCATGGGGACGGAGGGATGGGGGCAGCGGGGACCCAAAAGCCCGCAGGCTGCGCTGCGATGGGGCGTCTGTCGCTGGGGAGGGCGCTGATTTTGGGGGGAAAAAGAGAAAATTGGGGATGGAAAGGTGAATTTGGGGGGGGGAGGGGGAAAGGAGAATGGTGGGGAGAAGAGAGAAAATTGGGTGGGGGGAAAAGAAAGGATGAATTTGGAGGAAAAATGGCGAATTTGGGTGGGGGAAGAGAAGTGTGGGGAGAAGAAGTCAAATGTAGGGAATGGAAGAGAAATTTTGGGGGAAGAAAAAGAAATTTTTGGGAAAAAGAAACAGAATCCCATTCGAGAGCGGCAGCAGTGGGCACTGTGACGTCATCATGGCGTCCAAGTGACATAATTTGCCCCAAATTTGGCACATTTCACCCAAAAATGCTACATTTCACCCAACTGTGCTCTATTCAGTCTCAAAAATGGCCGCCCCCAGCGGGACTACAACTCCCATCAGCCCCCGCGCGAGGGAGCGGAAGCGGAGCAGCGGGCATGCGCGTACCCGGAAGGAGGAGGCGGGATTTCCGCCATTTTGCGGCGTTCCCTCAGCGCCGGGAGCCGTTTCCTTCGGCTCTTAAAGGGGGCACGGCGCCCGGTGGGGTCCCACTCGCGGAGCGGCGGAGCGCAGCGCGGCGGCGGAGGTCGATCGGTAGGGAGCGGAACGGGGGGGGTGGCGGAGCGGGGCAGGGGGGCAGCGCAGGGTTCGGCTCTTGGCCCAATGCGCTGCGCTGTCCGAACCCCCCGGGGCCGCTTTAAGGGAGAGGGGGCGGCGGGAGGCGGGGCTTAGACGGAAACGGGGCGTGGCTTAGATAATAGGCGTGGTCGAAGGAGGCGTGGCTATAGACGTGGTAGGCGGGGCTAGCGGGAAGGGGCGGGGCTTAGGAGGGGCAGGGCAATGGAAGGGTGCGGTGGGGAAAGGGGCGGGGCTAAACGTTGGGGGCGGAGCCTATGGGGGCACGTGGCCAAGGTGGGGTGGGGGTCCCCATGTCCCCTATATCCCCTCACATCCCCATATCCCCCCACACCCCCCATACTCCCCATATCCCCTCACGTCCCCATAACCCCCCACATCCCCCATATCCTCCCACAACCCCATACTCCCCATATGCCCTCATGTCCCCATATCCCCTCACATTCCCCTATCCCCTGGGCCCCCCCCATATCCCCCACACTC